CGAAGAAGGAAAAAGAGAAGAAGACACGACGCGCGAGCGACCGCCACCACGTCGTCGTCGTCGTCGGCGTCGGTGGCGGTCCGATTCCTCGGAATAGGCGAAGGTACAAAGCGTGATTCCCCCATTGATTTCTCGCCGGGCAATTTAATTCGGCTACACGCGAGCGCACGAGGACGGAAAACAGCAGGCGTCTCTTCGGGATCCTCGCGGTAAACATTACCGTGGCCGGGGCAATCGCACGCGACTGCGAGCGACGAGCAACGAGTTCTTTCCCCTCCCGTCTCCTCCTTTAAGCGATTCGGCGAGCGCATTGTATATTTAGCAGCCACTTACTTTCCATCCTTCTCCTCGCTAGAGCCCCTCCCGCCCCCGCTCCGTCCTCCTCCTCCTCCTCCTCCTCGTCGCCCACACTCCCTTCCTCCACCAGCAGCGAGCGAAGTCGCTCGAAATCGATCGATCTCTGAAATATTCAACGCATTCCGTGCGGAGCGGCATGCAACGGCCTGCAGCGGAGGAATCGCCTCGCGGGCTAGGAAGATATCGATTAATCGACGGCCCCTTTCGGATCGCCGCGAGTGTCATCCCGCCCCCGCCCCCTCCCCCTCCCCCACCCCCTCCCGGGCTAGTCCCCGAAACGGATCGCCGTCGCGCTCGGCCGACGCGTTTCGCAGCTGCTATACCGGGGAGGGAAGATTGTCTCGCGCCGAGACGAGGGATGCTGTTCTTACGCTGAGAAAAAAATTGTATTAAAATTAAACAAATATTTGTTCGAATACGACTGTATTGAATACATTTATTTATGAAATACATTTGAAATTAAGCGACCAATTCCTAAAATCAGATACAGAGGTTCTCTGAATGTAAACTTGTTCTCGTGAATTTTAGAAAACGATTGCTTAATTGAAGTAAATGTATTCACAGTCGTGTTCGAACGAATATTTGTTTAATTTTAATACAATTTTTTCTCAGTGTAGGAACTGACTTTCTTTTTGCTCGCGATGTTATTCTCGGAGGGAGCTAACGACTCACGGCGAAAGGGCTCGCCCTCTGGCTCCCTCTGGACTGGGGGTCACCCGATGACGCGCTGGAGAAGCTTCCCGCGACGTTTCCTCGCGGTTATTATTTCGTCGTCCTGTACATCGACACGCGAGAGCGCGACTTACCGAGAGTGAGAAATGTCCCTAACGTTAGCGGAGCTTGAGCGAACGAAGGTCTCAGGCTCTCGCGTTCAATGTCGCTGTAGTGTCGGCTAAAGAATCCACGAACACTTCAAATCGAATTCGCGTTCCCGCATTTGCCTCGCGAAGGGGTGGGGGTGGCGGGAGGGGTTCCCGCGTTGGGCTAACGTGTGACAATGAACGAAGCAGACGCGTCTTCGTTAAAGGAAGCGGATTCGGTTCTCGGACAAGAAGTCGAAAATTTTAATCGTCCGATCGATCCTGCCCTCCCCCCTTTTTTGCGCGTACTTTCAGTTCCGTCAACTCGAGCCTGATCCTCCGCACCTAGCCCAGCGTAATCTAGGCGAGTCCAGCTCCGAGTTGGCTCGAGTGCAGAACTCGAGACATCTTAAAACTGACATATCTTAACGAGCGCGAGCGACTCTCGCTTGATTCGAGACTCAAGCGCGTTACTCGGACACATCGACCTCTATGACATATCTCAGAGCCAAAGTCACCCAAAGTCCAAAGCGATCGCTCTTTCGGTGATTCCGCTGTTGCAACGATCGACTTTCGTTCGCATCGAAAATCCCCCTCCCCCTCGGTACCACATATAACCGTTCGGAGGCAAAACTGGGACGTTGTCGCCGAAGTACTTGACCTTTCCCGAGCGGCGGGCGAATTCATTTTTAGCAGTGCGAAAATTCCACGCGATGACATTCGAAAGGCACATCCGACGCGGCGGGGAATCATTCCGCGTAGAAACTCTTCGGGACTCTCCCAGTTACGATATTCCAATATAGATATTCCGATTAGAAGTCGCAAATTTCTTTCAAAATTGATTAACCGATTACGGCACTCCGAATGGGAGTCTCATTCTCGTTTGATTTTCTGCCTACAGGCTGTCCCATTCTAAATGGGAGGCAGGCAAAAATCTCGAAAAGTATGAAAGATACTAAGAAATGTTTCGGACAAAAGTTGGATGGTTTCAAAGGGAACATGAAACAACCGTATCATTTTGTTAATAACTTTTATCTGAGACGTTTTTTTATTTGCCTAATATTTTTTTAAATATTTAAGGAAAACTTGATAATTTCTTCAATATTTAATTTACGATATCTCGCTAACTACTTGTCGGGAGAAAAGTCGTACCAGACTCTTTTATTCTATTTGGTCTCAAGAATATATTGTTACAATACTCTAACTTTTGTTAATTTGACGACTTTGAAATTTCCAAAGGTTCGATAAGTTAACAAAAGTTGAGGCACTATCGTAACAATATATTCTCGAGATCAAATAGAATAATTTTTTACTAGTACTATTTTTTCTTTCGACAAATAGCG